CTTTTTATGGTGTCATCCAGTTCCTGCATATTCCAGTCTTGTGTTTTATTAAGTTTTTTGTAATCTTTGCTTGAATAGTCTAATTCATCCACTTTATCTTCCAGTCTTGGTATTTTGTTTTCCATTTCATTCATGCTATTGGTGAGGCTTTGTCCTGTCATTTCTAATTGGCTTATTGAGTGTTTCACTTCCTTCTTCATTTCAGCCTGAGTAGTCTTCAATATTTCTAGCTCTTTTCTGAAATTATTCAGATGTTTATCCCTGTATTCCTTCAGTTCTTTGATTTCTTTGTGTGTTCTTTAAATTCACTGAATTCTTTTATCATGTTTATAATTGTTCTCTTGAGTTCCATGTCCTGCACTATCTCTAGGGGGTTCTCATTGTACTCCTCTAGAGGACTATTGGTATTTGGTGGGGATATGTTATTTTTGTTTCATATTATTTTTTCTTTGTGATTTTGACATGAATTTCCTTCGTAGTTTCTGATTCTTGTGTGAGACTCAAGCATTCCTTTGTTGTTGAGTTTAGATCTGCTTCTTTTTGTAAACTTTATGTGTCTTTGTGGTTTAATTATTGGGCATGAAAAGTGGGCTGGTCTAGGCTTCAGGTCCTCTCTTTTGATTTTATATTGGTGTGGCCTAATTTCTTTTGTCTTCAGGAGTTCTCACAGAGGCCCAAGTCAGATGAGGATCAGATGCTCTCAGGCTTTCTCCTAAGGTCTGGATCCCTCCAGGATAGATTTTGGCCTCAGGAATTTGGGGGTTGGACTGACCTGGGAGCCGGGCCCAGGAAAGATGCTGGTCTAGGGAAGCTGGTGGCCATGCCACCCAGAGATTGAAAGGAAGATGGGGGCGGGGGGGGCAAGGGCCCCTGGAGACTGCACTGAGGTGCTGGGTTGGTCTGCATGCAAAGGATCAGGAAGAGGAAAGGTCAGCCCCGTGTCCCAGAAAGTGGCTGGTGGATGGTGCAGGCCCAGGGAAGAAGAGGGAGTTGAGGGCCGGGCCAGGCCCAGAAGCAGTACTCCTGGGGCCCAGAGAAGGCACTAAGTTGGTCTGGGTGAGAAGGGTCAGGAAGCAGTATTGGTTCCCCTGGTGTCTGGGGCCCCAAGTCTAGGAATGGTGCAGGTCCCAAACTGGGAGTAGCGAACAGTGGGGGGGGGCGGGGGGGATGGAAGGGTGAATGTGGCTTGGGGAGTCTAGGTGCGGAGGGCTTCGCTATAGACTTACCCCAAGGGGCCTGAGGATAGGCATGCAGGCTGGGAGAGTTAGCCGGTGGTGCAGTTCCAGGGACCCAGAGAGAGGTGAGGGTGGGGCCAGGACCAGAAGCGGTGCTCCTGGGGCCCAAGAAAGGCACTCAGTTGGTCTGGGTGAGAAGGATCAGGAAGCAGTATTGGTTCCCCAGGTGTCTGGGGCCCCAAGACTAGGAATGGCGCAGGTCCCAAACTGGGAGTAGCGAACAGCGGGGGAGATGGAAGGGTGAATGTGGCTTGGGGAGTCTAGGCGCGGAGGGCTGCGCTGCTATAGACTTACCCCAAGAGGCCTGAGGATAGGAGTCAGGCATGCCTTTTTTAATATTGAGAAATTTTCTTTTACAATCCTGTTGAATATCTGGTCCGTACCATTATCTTGAGATTCTTCTCCTTCCTGTATACCTATGATTCATAGTTTTTGGTTTTTTTTGTTTGGTTTTTTTTGGTGTCACATAACTCTTGCATATTCCATTCTTGTGTTTTTAAAATTTTTTCATAATCTTTGCTTGAGTGGTCTAATTCGTCCACTTTATCTTCCAGTCTTGATATTCTGTTTTCCATTTCATTCATTCTATTGGTGAGGCTTTCTCCTGTCGTTTCTAATTGGCTTACTGAGTGTTTCACTTCCTTCTTCATTTCACCCTGAGTATTCTTCAATATTTCTAACTCTTTTCTGAATTCATTCAGAAGTTTATCCCTATCTTCCTTCAGATCTTTGATTTCTTTGTGTGTTCTTTAAATTCACTAACGATGAGCCAGGCCGAGTTCCTGGCCTCAAGAATCTTCCAAGCTGAAGTGAATTTTGTTTATGACTACTGCAGGGGAAGGTAATGTATACACAAATATTCTGCCCAGCCATTAAGGTATATATTCATGAAATAATAATTTCATAAATAACTCATGAATAATATAAGGTATAATATTCATGAAATAATAGCATTATTTGTATTTCTTTTTCTTTCAGGACAAACACTATTCAAAGTAGTGGTAAAATCTCTTTCCCCTAAAGAGTTAGTCCGGATTTATGTCCCTAAACCTTTGGATAGGAATGATGGAACGTTTTTGGTGAGATATAGGATGCACGAGACGGTCCATGAAGGGCTGAAGATAGAGGTCCTTTATGGTGGTGAGCATGTGGCCCAGTCTCCCTATATTTTGAAAGGTAAGTGATTATTAATAATCACGAGCCAGATTTACATAAGTTGCATGCTTTTCAGAATGGTTTGTAATGACCTTTTAGTCAAGGTCATTAAGGATTGTATATTTACTCTCTGAAGCTCAAATTTGATTTGACATCTGATTTACTTATTTTTGGAAACAGTATCACTATGAAACCCTGACCAGCCTTAAACTCACAATAATTTTCCTGCCTCAGCCTGAGTGCTAGATTACAGATATGTACCACAACACCTAGCTTAATTAGAAATTTTAAGGGAAGAAAAGTTACATAATTAACAAAGAATTAAGTGATAAGGGAAAAAAACATACATTTATTCATAGAATACTGACTGCTTCTTGGACTCTGCCCATGATCTCGAATTTCCATCTAGCACCACCTGCCTTCTGCCTAAAGGATTTCCATTCACATTTTTTTAAGAACAGAAACCAGTAGTAGGGGATACAGCTTTAGCATATCAGAAAAAGGTTTTTTACTTTCACTTTAAAGAATACTTTTGCTAGTCACAGAATTATAATCCAATGGACTTTTCCACTCAGCCCTGTAACGCTGCCTCTCCGCTGCCTCTCCCTCCTCCTCCTCCTATTTTGCCTTGTCTCTAGCGATAGACTTCCCGTGATCCTCACCTGTTCCTCTGTGCCGCCTGTTTTCTCCCTAGCTGTTGTTTGAGCAGTTTGGCTATTAATGTTGCTTAGTTTAGTTTTCTTGCCATTTCTTCTGTATCTTTGGGTTTAGAGCGTCATTTCTTCAAACATTTTTTTCTATCTCCCCAGCTGCCCCCTTCAAGGATTGCAATTACTTTATTTTAGGCATTTTTCAAAATGATCCTTTTGTTTCATTTCGTATGGCTCTCATCACCACGCTAATCCTTCCGTCTTTTCTCCTGCAATGACAGTTGTCATTAACCCCGCGCAGGGTATTTTTCATCTCCTGGTGCTGTTTTTAATTTCCTTAACCTTTATTTCTGGCCTGAAGCTGAGTTACTTGGACATCATTTAATCCTTCTGAATAAGGCTTTTACAGTTTATTAAATGGGATTGGAGCCATGTTTAATGTAGGATTAATTATTCCTGACTGAGGCATGCACTCCCAAGTCCCAAGGATGAAGAGGCTTTCCAGCCTGCCTGGTATGATGGGCACCATTCCCAGGCTTGTGGGAGTGGTATGCACTGGCCTCCAGTCATTCTGGATGGTTCCTCCCTGCCCTGGATGGTTTCCTCTCACACATTCCCTGATCGCATGCTCTGGTACTCACAGGGACCCCTTGCAGAGCTCTGCACATCTGTGCAGTCTTTCTGTCCACATGCTCTGTCCCTGTCTTAGCTGCCTTGGTCTCCCTGTGCACTCAGCTCTGTCTCCTCACCTCCATTAGAGAGCTCAGCTGCTCGGCTCGCTCTGATCCATCTCCCTGTGCTAAGCTAAGCAGTTCACTGTGGGGCCGTGAGGCTCATCCTGTTTGTGTCCACCTCTCAGACTCACTGTCTCATGCTCTTAAAACTGGATCCACCTATTTTGTCAGGGTTTTGTTTGGCAGTTTCAGGTGGGAGGGTGAATTGGTGCCTGTTGTCAGCATTGGCCTGAATTAGAAATCCTTAGGAAAGTCACTCATGGTTGGGTACATCTGTAATCCCAGAACTTGGGAAGTGGAAGCAGGAGGATCAGGGTTTAAGGCCAGTCTGGGCTGCATGAGAGCCTGTCTCAAAAGATTGTTAAGTAAATAAGTCCTCAGGAAAATTCATTTTTATTAAAATAAATATGTATATATCCTGAAATGATATATTAAATTTGCATAAATTGTTTTTAAGCAAATCTTCAAAGTTCTGTGTTTTCTGCTGGCCACTTGGAATCACAGTGCCAAACCTCTTTTGGTTACTCATTTCTTCTCTGAGATGTGCAGATGGAGGTAACTGTAGGTCTCTGAGGAAAAGATCCTCTTTGTCTTAAAGAGTCACCATTCCTTCTAGGTTTTAATACCTGAAAATCAAGAAACTCTCCTTTTCCTTGTTAAAAGTTAAGGCATCTTATATTAATTACTTATACCTCCCTGGAAATGAATTTATCATCTAATTAACTAGAGTATATTAGATTGGGGAAAGCAAATGCTGTGCTAGTGAAAGAAAAACTACAACAGAAACAAAGGAAACACACAGAGACCACCTTGAGAAATGGTTGCTTACTTTATCTGGTGATAATTGCACAGATGCCTGCAATTATCTGGGTTGCAGAAAAGAATGTCCTGCCCCTAACACTCATTCTAAAGCCCAGGACTGGTTGAAAAACAAACCCATAAAACTGAAACAGCCCCCTTTTCTAAATGAGGAAACAGCTGCCTGGTCTAACCTTTGCTTCTGCTTCTGTAAACATGTTTGCTGCTTGGACTTCCAGCTCATGGTCTCCTGACATGCAGGTTAGAGACCCCTGTGTCTGGTCCATAGTCATACCGGCAGGAATTCAAGCCCACCAGTGATGGAAGAGGTCTGGAATGATGCTGAATTGTCTATAAATACTGTTTTAAAAAACTCAAAAATCTGCTGCCTGGTGCTCAGGCTTTGGAGCGGACTCCTCTGAGTCCCTGCAGGCAGGAATTAAACTGAACTTTTCCACTCTGACCCTGGTGCCTGATCTGGAAGTGGCGGTTTCTGTTATATTAATTGGCTCAGGATGATTGGGGTAGGGGTACGGGGGAAAGACCAAAAGGACTGACGTAATTACTCACACAACTGATTTGCCTAAGGCAGTTTTCCTTTGTAATTTTTGAATTTAACAAGAACTCATGACGTGTTCACAGGGGCAGAAGCAGCTCCCTGTGTCACAGCATTTGTTAACTGGGTGTCATTGTGTGTGTGTGTGTGTGTGTATATGTGTCCTTCCCCAGGACCTGTGTACCATGAGTACTGTGACTGCCCAGAAGAGGACCCTCAGGCCTGGCAGAAAACTCTTTCTTGTCCAACTCAGGAACCACAGATCGAACAAGATTTCACTTCTTTCCCTAGCATCAATCTCCAGCAGATGCTGAAGGAAGTCCCCAAAAGGTTTGGGGACGAGAGGGGTGCTGTTGTTCATTACACAATTCTCAATAACCACATTTACCGGAGATCTTTGGGGAAATACACAGACTTCAAAATGTTCTCTGATGAGATTTTGCTGTCACTGACGAGAAAGGTATGGAAATGATCTGATTCCAAACTGGTATCACTTAATTGTTGTAACATTTACATGTGTAGAATTATGACTGAGAATGAAAATTGGATTTCGGCTCAGAAACGTGTCACTGAGTGTTCATAAATTCTTCACCTTTATAGCTGTATCTTTCCTGTAAGATTTAAGTCACGCTGGGCATGGTGGCTCATGCCTGTTATCACAGACTCCAGTTCATGAGGCTTTGGGATAAGCTGGAATAAGATGGTGAGCGCCAAATGCCAGGGCAGAGCATAGCTCTTGTCCCATAGGCTAAAGGTTCTGTTAAGCTTAGTTGTGACATTCATTTGGGGTTTAGAGATTTGGGTGGCCATATAGAAAATAGATTCAAGCTGGGGAAGGGAAAGTCAGAAGGCTTAGTAGGGAAGCTACTGAAGAAGTCTAGGCAAGAGATGGCAGGGACCTCAGCTGAACATTGATCACAGATGTGGAAATGGGGTGTAGAATTCCAGAGGCAAAGGGGTGGGGGTGATGAAGGAAAACGGGACTGGGTGGACTGTCAGCTGTTGCTTAGGCAGCTGGTAGAGGGTTCTCAGAGCTGCACATAAGTGCTTCTTTCTACAGTGTCTACTTCTGTCAGATGAAAATGTAAATGCCGCCTCTGGACAGAGGGAGCTAACTTCCAGTTAAGTGAGTTATAGTACCCACACCTGGGATTTACTGACGCAGCTGATGGTGGAGAGGCAGTCTTCACCTTTCTCCTACTTCCAGTGGTCAGGGGTACTTAAGAATACCCAGATGGGAGATCGCTTAGTCAGTAAAGTGTTTGCTGTGCCAACATGAGGACCTGAGTCTAACCCCCAGAACCCATGTGAAAAGGGCCAGGTGATCCCAGTCGCAGTCCCAGTGCTGGGAAAGCAGAGGCAAGTGGACCCCTGAGGTTCACTGGCCCATAAGCCTAGTCCAAGTCAGTGAGAGACCCTGTCTCAAAAAAACCAAGGTACGTGGCTCTTGAGGAACAACAACCCAGGTTGACCTCTGTCTTCCTTTCACAGGTGTGTGCACACATGGACATGTACACAGATATACATATATGCACACACACACACACACACACACACACACACACATAGACACACACAAGCCAAGATACTGAGTCATTTAGTATCAAAGGCAGAAGTCTTCCCAGCACTGACGTTTATCTTTTTGTTCACATAGGTCCTCCTCCCAGATTTAGAATTTTATATTAATCTTGGAGATTGGCCCTTGGAGCATCGAAAAGTCAATGACACCCCTGGCCCAATACCAATCATTTCCTGGTGCGGATCCCTGGATTCAAGAGATGTTATCCTTCCAACATATGACATCACCCACTCCACCCTTGAAGCAATGAAGGGTGTTACAAATGATCTCCTCTCTATTCAGGGAAATACAGGTAAGTTGCAGCTAACTAGGGAAGATCTTAAGGGTAAGAAGAGTGAAGGAAACTTTTAGTCAGAGAATGTTTATTTATGTTTAAATAGATATGTTTAAATAACCATTCTTACTTTCTAACCAGGAAAGTAATGCTCGCCTAGCATGCATAAGTCCCTGGACTCCATCTCCTGCACCATGAGGAAGATTTTTTTTAAAAAGCACCCTTAATACTCAAATGGAATGTTTAGGCTTCTCCTAATCAGTCACTTGTAAATATCTTTTCCAAGTCTATATTTGGTGTATACTTATGAAAACGTAAAGAAAAAAATTTTTTAATGTTTAAATTACTTGAAAATAAATATTTGATAAATTGCTATTGGTTGGCTAATTCTGACTCTAATGCTTTTTATTACTAGATGAAATAAGAATTTTGAATAATATAAAAATGTAAACATAAGAGACTTATGATAATATTGTAATTAAGGAATTAGCTCATTTTTCTGCCCCTCTTGATTTTTAAAAATCTGAATTCCCGGCCGGGCATGGTGGCGCACACCTTTAATTCCAGCACTCGGGAGGCAGAGGCAGGCGGATCTCTGAGTTCGAGGCCAGCTTAGTGTCCATGGTGAATCCAGGACAGCTGGGGCTACAGGGAGACCCTGTCTCAAAAAGACCAAGAAAAAAAAAAAATCTGAATTCCCTTCCTCTTGTTTGATGGCCTTCCATTTATGGTACAGCATCCCTCTGTAGAGTTGCAAAAACCTTAGGTTGTCTTTGTAGCCTCTATCTCTCTTTATTGTTATTTGGTGGACTTATTTAAAAAAGAACAGACTTGTATAAACCACCTAAAGATATCATGAAGGGAAAAATAAAAGGAAAATAAAGCCTTTAATTTAAAAACTATTTTATTATTTTTTTAAATGTACGTATATGAGTGTTTTGCCTGCATATAAGTGCACCCATGTTGTACAATGCCTGTAGAGATCAGAAGTTCCCTGGAACTAGAGCTACAGATGGTTGTTAAGGGCCACGTGAGTACTGGGAACTGAATCCAGGTCCTCTGTAAGAGCAGCCAGTGCCCCTAACTGCTGACCTGTCTCTCCAGCCCCCTTTCTTTTACTTTGATAACAGCAAGTCCTGAACAGTGTGCTAAGGTAGCATAGAGATTGACCCTTCAGTTTTTATGTCTTATGACTTATCCCTCAGACATCAATGGATATTTAGCCAATGACGTCATTCTTTAGAATCATAAAAGGCTTAATGAGAGATGTAAATTAATTCTTCCAGGAGATTTCTATTCCAAGAAGAGGAGATTTAAATCTATGTAGAGCTGGGAATGACTTCTCCCTGTAACACCTTCACCTGGAAGCAGGAGGCTGGAGGAATGCAGAGAATTAGAGGCCAGTATGGGCTACACAGCAAACCCTAGACCAGCCGGGGCTATATACAAGACACTGTCTAAAACAATCCCCCAAATTAAAAATAATTTTAAAAATATATCTATGTAGTTGAGTCTATATGTGTGTTTAACAGCATATTAAAACAAGTCTTCCTTGTGTTCAAAATTATGGGTAGCCTGAGGGCTGAAGATCTGTTACTTAGTCATGCAGTTTTGTCCTGACATCATCTAAGAACAAAAGTCTAACTCACGTGTGACTATGAAATATGAACAATGTTAGAAGCCATTGCCTTAATGAGTGGGCCAAACCTCTTTCTGATTAGAATTTGGTTTGATATTATTATGAATATTTCCTAGTGTTATACAACATAAAACACCAGTGCCCATGTGACAGATGGGTGGAGCTGGAACATTCTTTAATACAGCAACAGAAGGACTGCTTTTGAAAGTGTCTCTGGCAAATTGAGACTCAACCCCAAATGTTTTGGAAATAGCATCCATGTCACAGATGAGTTGCTGAAGAGCATTGACATTTTAAATGACAATGGTGGAAATATCACTGTACTGTCACATAAACTGTCAGATTCTTATTCATACTTTCTTACGGCCTCAACCTTCTAGGGCCTTCCTGGATCAATAAGACAGAGAAAGCATTCTTCCGAGGTAGAGACAGCCGGGAGGAGAGGCTGCAGTTGGTACAGCTGGCCAAAGAGAATCCTCACCTACTAGATGCAGGAATTACAGGATATTTCTTTTTCCAAGAGAAAGAAAAAGAGCTTGGAAAAGCCAAGTTGATGGGTTTCTTTGATTTCTTTAAGGTATGCACTCGAGTCCTCTTATGGCTATGAAGTGATAAACTTGGGTCCCGAGGCTGCCTAACAAGTGGCTCTGCACATTCCTGTTTGTGAGCTCACACGCACTTTAATACTTTATTAGAAAAAGGGAATTTCAAAACCCTGACATTTCTTTTGCTGTTAACTGTGTCTAGAATATAGACCAGAACTATATTTAATGCTCAAAACATGAGCGTTAACATGAAGTTTGGGTATTTACTTCTCATATTTCCTTTTTGCTTTAATAAACTGCAGAGATAAATACCTTTTACATGAAGTGATCTCAAACGTCTTTTGTAAATAAAAAGAGCATACAGTTCATATGTGGAAAATTAGAGCTAGAGTTGGGAGTGCAGGTCCCGCCTCTGGTCGCTTCTGTCACAAGACCCTCAGTGGCTCTGCTGTCCTGGGATGCCTGCCTCGCTCCTTTACTTCTTATCAAATATTCATACGTGTATGTATATGTTTGAATGTGCTCTGTGTGTGTGTGTGTATGTGTGTGTATCCCTCAGTCCTTAAGAGAATTAATATGTGGCCCAAACCTGACTGTCTAGAAAACTCACGGTATCGGCTTCTGCCGCATTCATGAGGCATGGGTTTGCTCTCTAGCACTGGAAAGGAAGAGAGAGAGTGGGGGAGGGAGAGGGGAGGGAGGTGGAGGGAGAGAGAGAGAGAGAGCAATGGTGAATCAGCATATTTAGGAATAGTTCCTCTTCAGCTCAGGGTTTTATAATGAAAAGAACAGGGAATTTTGATTCAGAATGGAAGTTTATCAATTTCTCTGTATACCAATTTTCTTGTTAAAAAAATGCTTCATAATTTTAATTACGTTTCATGCCCTTGGAAAATGCTTTTAAAGTGGAAATCAGAGCTTATTAATCCAACATATGCAAATGAAGCACTTCTCCAGGTTTCTGCCAGGTCAACTGTATAATTCTATTACATTTATTTGTGTGTGTGTGTGTGTGTGTGTGTGTGTGTGCGTGCATGTATGTCAGGTCAAAGGACAATGGCTTTTTTGTTGTTGTTGTTTTTATATTTATTTTTTTATTTATTTATTTATTTTAATTCTATTACATTTATTTTTGTGTGTGTGTGTGTGTGTGTGTGTGTGTGTGTATGCACACGTGCCATCTCACCAGCCTGTAAACTGTTAAATAGAGGCAATGCATTCCTGTTTCAGAGATTTAGTATAAGATTTAGTATAAAAAGCAAGTGAATACATAAATAAAAGTGTAAATTATTACCAATATTCAGATTTTTTTTTTTTTTTTACATTTAGAGCTTTTAAAAATAGTTTTTTGGGTTTTTTTTTTTTTTTTTTTTGGTCTTTTTGAGACAAGGTCTCCTTGTAACCCCAGCTGCCCTGGAACTCGCTATGTAGACCAGGCTGGCCTTGAACTCACAGAGATCCGTCTGCCTCCCAAGTGCTGGGATTAAAGGCGTGCGCCACCATGCCCAGCCTGAAAGTAGTTTTAATGCCTACTTCTGGTTACATAATTCTGGGTTCTCCACTTCAAAGACATAATTGAAACAGGAGTTCACTGCTCTTTCCTAAACTATTTATCATCTTATCTCTAAATGCATTGTGTTTCTTAAAACAGGTCTATTAAAGCCCATTTTAATACAAAGAGTATTTAAGTCACAAAATAAAGCTCTTAAACACAGTACTTAATATGACAATATTGGGAGGCAAATGGTTTTATGATTTTTTTTTTTTTATCATCCAGTACAAGTACCAGGTGAACGTGGATGGGACTGTGGCTGCATACAGGTACCCGTACCTCATGCTGGGGGACAGCCTGGTTCTGAAGCAGGACTCACCATATTATGAACACTTCTACGTGGCACTGAGGCCTTGGAGACACTATGTTCCCATTAAAAGAAACCTCAGTGATTTACTAGAGAAAGTGAAATGGGCCAAGGTACGTTCTGTGCAGTTTTCTTTCCCTTTCTCAGTAGCAATCAGTATGGGGGGGCCCGAGTTTGATCATAACACCTTTTAATTTAACATCAAGAAATTAAAAATCAAAGGAGGTTTGATTTTTTTTTTTTTTTAAAGTTGTTCCCAGGGCTGGAGAGATGGCTCAGTGGTTAAGAACACTGGTTCTTGAAGAAGACCTGGGTTCGAATCCCAGCACCCACGTGGCAGCTAATAACTGTCCTAATTCCAGTCCTAGGGGATCCAACAGCCTCTTCTGACCTCTGTGGGCATTGCACAACACAGAGGCACTCACATACATGCAGGCAATACATGCATACACGTAAAAAATAAATAAAAATATTTTTTAAAAAAAGCTTGCTCCCAGAAAATAGACCTAAAGACTAGAAATAAGAGTCATTTGGTATACCCTCTGTGAACATTGAAGGTTTTTAGATTTCAGGTCCAGTGTTATATGTAATACAGATTTTTCTAAAGAAACCACTATTTGTGCTTACCTATGGAAAAAAGAACACACATTATGCAGATTACAGATTGACAAAACCAGAGTTGAAGGGCTTTACATACCAAAAAAACATTCCAGGCATTCATGGTACTCTTTCCCTTATATATAAAAAAAAAAAAATCACAGGCTTTTAACCAATGTAAGTAGTAAAGCATCCCAAGAATCACAAGTTGCCCATAAAATAGGGATGCCTTTTTTAAAAAGAAACAATATTAAAAATATGGGTGAGGTTTATGAAACCATAAAAATTTAATTTTTATAAGACTTCAAAAAATTTTAGAAGTAATATTTGGTTATGGAAATAATGAGGCAGAATTACTGTTCTAGCCTTTTATAAGAGCCACAATTGCCAGAAAATAGCTGTTCCCATCAGGTGCATGTAGAAAACACATCTTTTCCATGAGTATAATTAGGAACACTAGCTGTTCCTGGTAGTGTAGGAACAGTCTGTGAGTACTAATGAGTGATTATTATTATTGTTATTATAGCAACATTATAGTTTTTCTAACTAAATTTTTGTTTCTGATTACATATTCATCAAATGAAGCTTTTTTTTAAAAAAGATTCATTTTGTTATTTTCACGTATGTATATGTGTGTGTGTCTGTATATAGATGTGTGCATTGAGTACACATGCCACAGAGGCCAAAGGCATAGACTCCCTTGGAGCTAGAGTTACAAGCTGTTGTGAGCCACCCAACATAGGTGCTGGGAACTGAACTCAGGTCCTCTGCAAGAGCATCACATGCTCTTAACTGCTGAGCCATCCCTCCATCCCTGAAGCTTAATAAAAGACACTTAGATATGAAAATTGATTCATTCTGCTTTTAAACAGAGAGGGCCATGCTAGGGAGGCAGATGTCGGACCCCAATCTTTCTCCCTGGAAACTAGAAAACCACTAAAGTAGTCAACAGTTGAAGTTGATGGGACCTGTGGAATCAGGTCCATACATCTACAGTTACCTCCTTTTAATAAGTAGCTGGTAAAGCATTCTGGTTGCATGGTGCTATAATGAGCTTTCTATTGCTGTGATAAAACACTGGCCAAGAGCAGCTTGGGCAGGAAAGAGTTTACTGTATCTCACTCTTCAAGTGACAGTCCATCACTAAGGGAAGCCAAGGCAGCAGCAGAAGGAATGGAGGAGTGCCGCTTGCTTGCTCCTCTGGCCTGTGCTCAATCTGCTTTCTTTTTTTAATATTTTTTATTTATTATTTTAATTTTATGTGTATGAGTGTTGTGCCTGTATGTAGGTAAGTGCACCCATGTCATGCAGTCCCTGTGGAGGAGAGAAGAGGCTATCAGATCCCCTGGAACTGGAGTTACAGACAGTTGTTAGCTGCCATGTGGGTGCTAGGATTTGAACCTGGATCTTCTGTAAGAACAACCAGTGTTCTTAACCACTGAGCCATCTCTCCAGCCCTCAATCTGCTTTCTTATACATCCCAGGATCACTTGCTGGGGTGGCACCACCCACAGTGGTGCCCTCCATCACTCAACAATCAAGAAAATGCCTCACAGACATGGCCACAGGCCAATCCATTAGAGGAAATTCCCCAGTTGAGGTTCCCTCTTCCCAGGTGTGTCATGTTGACAACTGAAATTATCCAGCACACACAGCCTCGTTCATAAGTCAGACCCCATTATCTATGCCCCCATGCTTCCCATTCAGCCCCACCTCTGTCTCACCTCACACATAACACTTAGCTGTCCCTGGGGGGGGGCGGCACAGGAGTAATTTTCATTCACTTTTTAAAAATCTTTCAGGAAAATGATGAAGAAGCAAAGAAGATTGCAAAAGAAGGCCAGCTGGCTGCCAGGGACCTGCTGCAGCCACCCAGACTTTACTGCTACTACTACAAAGTACTCCAGGTCAGTTGACATCACCCATCCTGGTGGGCCAGGGGTCCTCAGACCACATGCTTGGCTGTGGTGCCTGGTGCCGTGCTTCCTGAAGGGATCAGAGTCAGCTTGTGGAAGCAACTTGGGCTCAGCTGAGGCTCTAGTTGTGGGCACCCAGGACCAGTGCTGACTCTCTCTAGGGGCTCCACACTTTAATCTCCATTCTTTGTTATGGAAGACAATGCTTAGAGCAAGTAGATTAGAGGGTCCTCTGACCTTGTTAATATGCCCTCCATGGTTGTTGATCCTTAGAGAACTTATTTCCTCATCTGGAAAATAAAGAGAATCTTGCTCTTTGTTTCAAGTGGGACATTTGGTCTGACATCTCTTTTATGGAAGCATCCTATTTATATCAAAGTATGGATTTGGGTTTCTTGCTGGTCTGTGAAATACTGCCCCACCACTTGCAGTAACTAATGTTAAAATGTAACCTTAGGGGGCTGGAGAGATGGCTCAGCGGTTAAGAGCACTGACTGCTCTTGCAGAGGACTCGGGTTTGATTCCCAGCACCCACATGGCAGCTACAAACTATCCTTAACTCCAGTTCAAGGGGAATCCGAAGCTCTCCTCTGATCTCCACGGCACTGCACAACATGGGCGCACTTGCATACATGCAGGCAATACATTCATACACATAAAATTTTTAAAAAATAAACGGGCTGGAGAGATGGCTCAGCAGTTAAGAGCACTGGTTGTTCTTGCAGAAGACCCGGGTTCGAATCCCAGCACCCACATGGCAGCTAACAACTGTCTGTAACTCCAGTCCCAGGGGATCCAACAGCCTCTTCTGACCCCTATGGGCATTGCAGGACACGGGTACACTGACCTACATGCAGGCAATACACGCATACACATAAAATAAAATAACAAAATTTTTTCTAAAAAAATGTAAGCTTAGGACCAGAATAAGTCAGGCCTTTGATTTGAACCTGAAATATAATGAGGAGGATGGAGGTGTGGGAGGTGGCAGTAGAATGAAGTGTGGGCTAATCCTTCCGTCATTTCTAACACGCTTTTCAGAAATATGCCGAGCGCCAGGCCAGCAAACCGGAGATACGTGATGGAATGGAACTTGTTCCACAACCAGATGATAATGCCTCCACCTGCCGGTGCCACCGGAGGCCTGTGAGGGAAGAGCTTTAAGGTTGCCCAGCTCCACACACCTATTATGCCCACCATGTCCTTGAGGAAATACTCAGAAGAGGTGCTAAGCTGTGAAGAAATTCAGAAGCCAAGCGTGGTGGATTAGGCTCCTGTGTAATCCCAGCACTCAGGAGGCTGAGGCAAGAGGATTGCTTGAGACCAAGGCCAGCCTGAACTATCTAGTAAGTTCCAAGCCAGCCTAGACAGCCCAGTTAAGCCTCCTCAGAAAGAAAAAAAATCAAAATGAAAAAGAAAAATAGAGAGAAGCCAGGCATGGTAATGCATGCTTGTGATCCTGCACTTGGGAGCCAGAGGCAGGAAGATCATGAGATCCAGTGTTACCCAGTACCTTTGGGTAGTAATTTCTATAGGGTTTGAACTGCTTTTATCAGCATCACAACACTTTGAACTTCCTAGCAGGTGGAAAGGTTTATCAATCACATGGGACTTGGTCAACACCACATTTATTGGTTCATTTTTTTAATCTTTTCTTCACTTTCTTTCATGTTCAATTATGAGGAGAAAAACGCACCATTTCTCCTCTTGCAAGCAAGCTGCTCTTGGCGTTCAAAGCTTCCTTTGGAAGACTGGATAAAGAATAAAGACCCGGAGGATGACGGGGTTATAATGGTAGAATGGAGACAGCTGATAGAGCCTTTTTTAAAGCACTGCTTATGTCTTCAGCTAAATTTTGCCAAAGTCTGAGACACAATTAAGAAGGAATTGTGCCTTAAACCAGCTATTCACAGTCAATCAGGGTTGTACACCTACTAAGGACAACACAGTCATTAGTATAGATAACAGCTTCCAGTGAGTATCTTTATCATCTATATATTAGGTGGATAAAAGATAACAGTTGCCAGGTTGAGATCTTGAATCCTTTTTACCCTCTCAAGAGTTCTTGAAAATCTCTACAGCAAAGTTCAGGAAGCCTTGGTATCCCGGAAATCGTAAACAAGCTAACAATAGAGGCCAGTACTCATTCCTCACTCGCACACACCCCTCAATTTCAGTGAGTTACATCACTAAAACCTTTAGGACAGGGTCAACCCATAAAACTCATAACCCGTAAATTCATCACAAACTCAGAGTACCATCGATCCAAGATCCAGCTCATGACAGGATATGCTCTAAAACAGGAGCCACATATGCTCCCATTGTAAAAATATTCACTCCCTTAATTGAAATACTCAATTAGTCATATATTTTATGAATCACAGTAAGAACATAGAAATTTATATATTTAACTACACAAAACCAAATTTCCAAAAAGTATCATCAAGCCAAGTACTCTATAACTTGTTTCAAAGCATGAGTTTACTAGTATGAAATAAAGGACAAACTGTCCTCAGACCACACCTGGGTTCCCTGTCTGATGTGTATATTGGGCATAGTGTTTGGGGCTGTGTGTGACACTATTCCTGGGGTGACATGAACATACATCTGCTCACCTTAGACAGGGAGGAACAACAGACCAAAATAAGGATACCACCAATATCCAACTCAGTGAACCAGTGTTCAGTCAGGAATGTAGGTGAGGGGTTACTTACAGGATCAGAAATGACTCAGACAGCTGTACCACCAAAGCCTTCTCAGCGTGGGTGACCGCTCATGAAGGCGGGAAACCTGGAGCACACTGCACAACCTTCGGGCAGCTCAGCAGGTTGGAGACCGTCCTTTCCAAGTAGCTCAGTTGGTCTGAGCCTTCTCAGCGTGGGTGACCGCTCATGAAGGCGGGAAACCTGGAGCACACTACACAACCTTCGGGCAGCTCAGCAGGTTGGAGACCCGTCCTTTCCAAGTAGCTCAGTTGGTCTGTGCCGCTTCCAGGCAGTTTGGCTGGTCTCTGCCTTCTGGATGGCTTAGTTGAGCTTACCCTCTTCTAGGCAGCTCACCTGGTCTGAGTGTCTCTCAACAGTCTTTAGGGTTTATATTTGCTTGGGGAGGGAGGGGCCTAGTAAACCCAGTCTGTTTCAGGGACTTCGTGGAGCTATTGAGTTCTTTACTTCCAGATCTTAACAAGCTTTCCAGCAGGATGGGATGTTTCTCCACAGGGAAGGTTTTATCTCACAGGAAATTGCTGCACAACAGAGGCTTATCAAAACAGTTTATGCAAAGAAAGGCTGGATCTAGTTTATACCTCTCTATGTCAGAGTCCTACTTGTTAAAAAGAAGTTGAGACAATGAGGGAGCAGAGCAGTCAGGATGTGCTTAGGAAAGAAGGAGGAAGACCCCACTCTTCTGTTGTTGTGACAAACACTTGAGCAAGACAACGCAAGGGGGAGAGGCTTATTTTGGCTCAGGGTTTCAGAGGTTCTGGGCCCTGGGCAGCTGACTATTGCTTTGAGGCTGTGGCAAGGCAGAATCAGGAGTGTTGCCAGCTGGCAGAAGCATCTTTGCTGTATTTAGAGAGAGCACAGATAGGGAAGATGCAATTTCTTTAGTGTTAGCAGCTCAGTGTAAGTGGCCCATTAGTCTTAGTGTGTAGCCCCAAGCTTTCAGTGCAGTGGTCCTTGGCTTAATATGATGCTACATCTCAGTCTCCAGCTGGTTTTGATGACTCCTCAGCAGCTGGGGCCTTTCCAGCAGCTGATGCCTGCGCCTCTATGGTCCCTCGCTCTCCCCGCTCTCAGCTCTCTGCAGGCCACCATCTGTCACCATCTCAACTGTCTGTGGTACTTCATTTTTTGCAGTCTTAGCTCTTTGAAGTTTTTTGCACCCAGTTATTCTCCAGAACTCCAGCCACCTTCTCGTTGCTGGATGTGCTTGAGGTTTGCAGCCCCAGATGGCTGTTCTTCGTGCAGTGAGCTCAGCCCACCCTACCCATGACAATAGACCATGAGTTGGCAGTGAAATCAGTATGAGGTTTTATTGGGTCCTCCTTCAGCACAGAGAGGCACAACGTGGGGGGTCGGGGGGTGGTCTGGACTGACTGGTGAGAGTGAGAGGAAGGCTGTTGACCCACCTAGCCAAGCACATGCACAGCCTCCTGTTTGCCAAGGCACAGCGGTGTATGCACGCATACTGGGCCTGCCTGTCCTTGACATTAAGGATGAGGGAAGTGCTCCTCCTCAAAGTGATGGATGCCATCTACAAGAGGGACATCCACAGCAACTGTGGGTGGAGCCATCTGAAGCTGTCACAGCCAAAGTGATGTCTCATGGAGCCATCACAGGGTGTGTGGAGCTGCCATGGCTGAAATGGGGTCTCCTGAAATGGCTGTTGAAACTAGTGGACTCTGGAAAAGGCTTGTGGCTTTAGAGGGAGCTATGACAGCTGTGGTGGTTTCTCTGGCTGGAATGAAGTCTCAGTGAATGACCATGATATGTTTAAAATGGCCATGACTGTCATGGTGACAGCTTCCTGGATGGCAGAATAAATGGCTGCTCGGTTAACTAGTTTCCTGGGCAGGAGGAGGGCTGAAGTGGAACTCCAATGGAACTTCAGGAGCTGCATCAGTGTGGGTCACAGTCCCACCAGACTTAGACCATGGAGATAACAGCCATGGTTTCTGATTCATCCTCTACCCTGCCCAACCTTGGTTTGTTCTCTTGGTGCTCCTAGGCAGTTAGCACTGCAGCCAGGTGAGGAGAGAAGGGGCTGATAGCCATTAAGCAGCTAAACTACTTACACCTGATGGTTTCAGTCATTTGAAAAGAATAAAACATTAAGAAGTGCTTGCAACAAAGACCAATCATGAAATTCACATTCTTCGCCAGTAAACAAGATCCAGTTCTGAACCAATAGTCTTCCTAATGTGTCTCAGAGGAAAGCAGCTTACCTCCTGACTGTCAGGAAGTGGAGAGCAAGTGGAAGGGGCTCAGAACAAGGTCTACCCTTCCAGGATATGCCTACAACTTCCTGAGGCTTCGCCTAATCTCCATTCCCAATAATGCTGTCAAATTTTGAGTTTATCAGTGAGTTCATCCATTGACTCGCTAGAGCTCCCACGAGCCTCATTTCTAAATAGCCCCACCTTGGAATATTGCCTGGAGACCAAGCCTTTAACCCATGAGCTGTGGGGAACATTTCATATCCAAACTGTAACAAGTCTATCAAGAAATCTTTGTGGGGGAGCATCCCTAATCTAGATACTCCTCCATGTCACCAACTTGGCCACAGCCTTTAAGAAAATAGTTTATGTGGCTTTCTGGTTTGTTTCTTGAATATATTTTAGTAAAACAAATGGTATTAAAACATTAAGTCTTTGCCTTTCAACTCACCCATGAGCCACATAGTCCATTAGTCGTTTCTGGTATTGAAGTTTTCATGAAACATATCTGACTTTTAAAAAAATATAAAAATATACAAGTAGATACAGTTGTGTTTGTTTAAGTGAGCCATCATCATGCCTGTGACCTCATTAATACACAAGGACCCTAAGTAGCCAATTCTCATCAGTATGGAATTGCCTGAACAGATATTGACAAGTCAAGGAATTGAGTACCACTATTAACAACAAGTAGCTGTAACTGTGCTGTAATGAGAGATTTTGACAACTGTCTTAAGTAGGAAAATCAAGTTACAGAGCATAGAAAATGTGAAGCCATTTATGTAAAAAGAAAGAAAATGATTGACAGTTTGGAAGATTGTTGGCCTGTGTCTGAGAAGGGAATGGAGAGAAGGGAATTTTAGCATTTTTACTTTATACTTTTTTATAATATTTAACATTTTTTACTATGAATATAAATCAAGTTGTAAAATTAAAATGTCAACATGATAAAAGAATAAATGCACAAAAAAATATAAGTAGGAAAAAACCAGATATTTATATTTACCATTATACTGTATTAAAATCTATGTCTAGAATGTTGTCATGTGGTTTTATTATCTACACTCCTTTCAGTCTTTTTGAGACAGGGTCTCCCTGAAGCCCCAGCTGGCCTGGAACTCACTATGTAGACCAGGCTGGCCTTGAACTCGCAGAGATCTGCCTGCCTCTGCCTCCCCAGTGCTGGGATTAAAGGGGTGCGCCACCACCCCCGGCAGATGCACTTTGTTTTAAGAAGGCTCACCACCACCCGCACCCTGGTGTATATGACTTTGTCTAACTTTCATCTCTGTCCTTGTTAATGATTGAAGCAAAGCTGCTGTGTCCTGAGGTGTATTTGTTCAAGGGGCAAGGTCTGCTGCGGAGGGAGAAGTGTTTGCACCATCTTAGAAGCGGGCAGCTTGGAAAAATTGGCCAGGGTGTCTCGCCTGCGTGGATGCTAGAGGGGTCATTTACCAAGCTGGGGTGAGACCACAGGCCCACAAGGCATGGACAGAAGCTAATGGAGACTGTGAGCAGGGCTGGAAGCAATCTGGAACTGCGGGCTGCTGACCCACAGAACGGAACAGGCATCGGGTGTTCATCTTTGTGGGGTGCCGAGTGTTTGCCTTTGTGAGTTACTCTATTTCCCCTCCCTTAGATATAAACTATGAAAAATTAAGAGAAAGATGTATTATATGGTTTGTCTACTGGCACCAGGAGGAAGGGACCCTAAGAGAGCTCGGGCGACAGCTGCTCTCACTGCTATTCCATCCCCAGAGGGCAGAGATATGAAAGGATTTCACATCATTTTTAAAAATTAATTTCTAAAGTTATACAGGTTAGTGGGTTTCACTGTGGTATTTTCCTACACATGTGTCATTATACTTTGTTCTAATTCTCTCCCTCCCCAAGCACCCACCTTCTTGCCTTGCATCTTCTAGTCCCCATATAGTCCCCTCTGCTTTCCTGTCACTTATATTCTCTTTCCCCTGTCCCCTCCCTTGAGATCTTTTCCTCCCCTCTCATGGGCCCTGTATTAGTCAGGGCTCTGTAGAGAAACAGAAATAACCGAGTAAATATATATCATGAAACAGGGTTTATTAGGTAGGCTTACACAACAAGGGCTGGGTGGTCCAATGATGGCCATCTTCATACTCAGTACAGGAGGGTGAATGCCTTAGGAATTCCATTCTGGCACCGTAGGCCTGGAGGATCTCTGGAGACCGCTGGTCTTCAGTCCATGTTGGAAGTGGAAGATGCTGAGTCCTGATGGCTGTGAAGATGGTGGCAGCAGTGGCAGCAACAGCTGATGGTAAGAAATGCAAGGTAGACTGAGAGCAAATGGCCCCTTGGCATAGTAAGGTCAAGGTCAGAAGAACTGAGTCACAGCTTAGCAACGCAGTACCCTGAAGAGCATTGGTTTCCTCATGATCATTTGACTGACTGGGCAAATGCAGTTTGCTACCACTGCCTAGCACTGGGGAAGATTATTGTCAGGCATATTGCTAGGCCAGGAAAAAAATCTTACACACATAGTGCTTTTACATTATCTTTTAAAAATTATAATTTAGTCAGGCGTGGTGACACATGCCTTTAATTCCAGCACTTGGGAGGCAGAGACAGGCAGAGCTCTGTGAGTTCAAAGCCAGCCTGGTCTACATAGCAAGTTCCAGGTCAGCTGGGGCTATAGGGAGACCCTGTCTCAAAAAAGCCCAAAATAATAATAATAATAATAAAATAAAAATAAAAATTATAACTTGGGCTGGAGAGATGGCTCAGCAGTTAAGAGTACTGGCTGCTCTTGCAGAGGACCAGGGTTCAATTCCCAGCATCCACATGATGGCTAACAGTCTATAACTCTAGTTCCAGGGGATCCAACACCTTCCTCTGGACTCCTCGGGCACTGCACAACATGGGTATTTACATGCATGCAGGCAATATATTCATACACATAAAATAAAAATAATATTTTTAAAAAATTATAACTTGAACAATCATGATTAGGGGGCCTTTTGTACATAATGATTATGGCTTTCTTATAAAGGATACACATAGGTTAAGGCCTGGGAGGGAGCACAGAACTCCATGCCCTCAAGAGTGAAGACTTGACGCTGTCCCAATGCATCAATAAACTTTGATGTTTAGAGTTGGAGTTTTTTTGTAGAGGAGGATATGTCTCTTTATGGAGGCATGATTAGCATATGGCTAATTTCAATCTCTCTACATCAATCATCAATCAAGAGAATCTCTCATAGACATGGCCACTTTGAGGAAATTCTTCAACCCAGGTGACTCTAAGTTGTGCCAAGTTGACAATAAAAATTAACCAGGACATGTCGGGTCTTATGACCATTAGTCCTTCCTGAGACCATCTAGAGGCCTACCACATACATTTCACTAGCATAAAAAGTACATTTCTACCACATGGAAGTTCTGAGGATTTGGAAGCTCTGGGCCAAGAATCAAGAGACAAAGACCAGATAATGTTCTTTGTAACACCCCAAGACCACTGAGGACCTGGAAACTGAGGCCACTTGATCTGGGATACTTGATGTGAGGGTATGAGTTAGCAAGATCAGCCCCACTGCAGAAGTTGTGGGACAGAAATATTCAAGCCTTTCAATAAAGATATGCATTAACCAGAGCTGGACATGGTGGCACACACCTATAATCCCAGAACTCGGAAGGCTGAGGCAGGGAGATCTTGAGGTCAAGGCCAGCTTGAGCTTCATAGGGAGACGTTGTTTCAAAGCTTATCCCCACCAACCAATAAAGATATGCAGTAAATCAAGCCCATCAGTTTAGTACAGGACTTATAGTAGAAATTTTAAATAGGCAGAGAGCAAGACTCTTTCCACGTTATAGTGCTTTGAATGAGAAGTGTCTCCCAGAGGCTTATGTTGGTCCTCAGTTGTCAAACTGGAGAGGTTATTGAACATTTAGGAGGTACATCCTTGCTAGAGGAAGTAGCCTCTAGCTACACTTCCTGCTCCCTCTGTGTTTCCTATGTGTGGAAGGGAAATGTGATTAGCCAGCTTCCTGCCCCTGCTGCCATGCCATGCCTTCCCCACCATGATGGACTTTATACCTCTGAAACCATAAGCCAAAATAAATTTTCTTCTTTGTTTTTAGTCATTGAATTTTATCATAGCAACAGAAAAGTAACTAATACATATGATTTCCAAAGGCTTCCAAGTTTTTACTTGTTTGGGGAACTATTGGGCATTAACAAGTGCCAAGCTTCAGTGCACTATGAATTCCATAGAGAAACAGGAAACCATTCCCCCCTTCATACCTCATGTCATCTGTTCGGTTTTCATGTCTCCAGGAGTAATGAGAGGCCTCCATCACTGCCTGCATTACTACCTGCAGCCAAGGGACAAAAAAGAGGGAACCCACCCCAGGAGTGGAAGGCAAGAAATGCTCCATGGAAAATAGCCTGACCCCTGCCCCATGACTTTGGCATTTTCCATTAGGGGTGATTCACCAAGTGGCCCCCTGTTTGAAATACTTTGGAGTAACATGGAACCTCATAAAAGGAAGAACACTAGGGCTGGAGAGATGGTTCAGCAGTTAAGAACACTGGTTGTTCTTGCAGAAGACCTGGGTTTGAATCCCAGCACACACATGGCAGCTAACAACTGTCCATAACACCAGTCCCAGGGGATCTGACAGCCTCTTCTGACCTCTGCAGACATTGCACGACACGGGTGCACTTACCTACATGCAGGCAATACACGCATACACATAAAATAAAATAAATAAAAAAAATATTTTTAAAAGGAAGAAAACTGTAGCAGGACACTGTTCTTGCAGTTTGCTGTTCCTTCTGTTGTGCATGGGAGATCATAGATTTGGACATTGCTGAGGCCAGCAAACCAATCCAATGTAGAGTGAAATGTTGGGACCCGAGTCTTAGCTTATAAAATGCCCTGTAACTGGTAAACAGGCTGTAACAACTGACTGGATGATGAGCATGTACATAATTAAGTCTATTTTGAGGCCTCATTTGTTTTCCTGTAAATGCTCACGAACTAGTGTTAGTTGAATTTCTCAGATTACATTTTGGTTTTGTGAGCTCCCTGACTCATGAATGCTTTTGTTGTTTGATTGGTCTATTTTTGCTTGACTTGAATAAGCTCTACTGAATTCATGGGTGTAGGAATTTTTTTTTAATTTTTTTATATTATGTGTAAAAGTGTTTTGTCTGCATGTGTACAAGTGCACCAGGTGTGTGCAATGCCCTCAGAGGCCAGAAGAGGGCATCAGATCCCTGGAAGTGGAGTTAGAGACAGTCATTAGTTGACCTGTGGGTGCTGGGAACTGAACCAGGGTCCTCTGGGAGAGCAGCCAGTATTCTTAACCACTGAGCCATCTCTCCAGTCTCTGGTCTAAGAAATTTGACCTATAGAAGAGAACCTTGTGCTATTAACATATTGACAGGAATTAGGGAAATTCTAACTCACAGACCTGGTATAGGCCTTGATCTTGATCTTGACTTTTGTATACTCATTCCTTGCTACTAGTGCTGTGGATTGCTAAACTCCTTTTAAGAAAGCAAAAGGGAAACTGTGAGAGCTTTTTTTTTTTTTTTTTTGGTCTTTTTGAGACAGGGTCTCCCTGTAGCCCCAGCTGTCCTGGAACTCACTATGTAGACCAGGCTGGCCTTGAACTCACAGAGATCCTCCTGCCTCTGCCTCCTGAGTGCTAGGATTAAAGGCGTGCACCACCACGCCCGGCCTACAATGTTTTCTAAACTTTAATTCTCTAAACTTTAGTAAAATATATGTAACTTTACTATTCCTAACCACTTTTAAGTGTACAATGTGGTAACAATAAGTACATTCATGTAATTGTGTAGTTTCCATTTTTTAATTTACAATTTTAGACCCAGTTTGTACTACATTGTTACAAGTGTGCATGGTGTTTGCATCTCTGTAGTTTTAACTCATGGCAACTCGGTTTAAGCATGAAGACAGATGCACGAAAGAGCAAAGCTCATGCCCATGTTTGTCATGACCAATGATTTAAAAAGGACTCTAGCCCCGAGTCACTGAATTGCCTACAGGGAATTTCTTCATGCAAATGTTTTTATAACGTTAGGAAAATATTTTCCCTAGAAGTTCATTTTCCTTACAAATTAAAT